GGACCAATCGTTCTTAAAGTGAAATTGTTGGTAAACCTTTTTATTAAATAAATAAAGAAATAAATTGCATGAACATTACAATGAAACTTTTTTATACCTACCATCTGAGACGAACTTATAAGTTTTTAAATTTTTTGACCGATATGGAGAGCCCTATCTGTGTAATGGTTTCTACCCATGACCCGCGTTATCAGAGGAAAGGAATTTGGCAGTTCTTGATGAGCCTGCGTGAGCCTTGTGCTACAGGTCCTGGTTGTCAAGATCAGTCTGATATCCAACCCATAGGTTAACTTTTTTGGGACCAAGGCGTATAAAGTGCGGTCCTAGTCACCACTCAGTGACCTGACGAAAAAATACATAGTGTTCTGTGTGACGTTATTTGCTTTTGTCCAATAGACGAACGCCTGTGAACGCTGGTGTCAGTGTACCTCAAGGCTGCGTACTATCGCCCACTCTGTTCCTCCTCCATGTCAATGATATGGCATTAATTATTAGCCAGATGACAGCATGGGTTCCAGATGACAACATGGGTTTCTCCTTTTACACTGATGCTAACATTTCTCACAACTAACAATCATCGAAACATTATGTGTCTGAAATCGAGACTTCTTTTCTTTATAGAGAATCAACCAGACTGGGGTTGATTTAATTTAGTCAAAAATAACCATACAAAGACATAGGTCTGTGTGTTCACCGCTAAAAAACTGCCGTTGGTCGTATCTCCTCAATTTCAGACCATTCCCCTCACAGCTTCGGCCGGTATTGGAATACTTAGTGTCGACATATCAAGCGAAGTCTAGTTCCGCCGTCATCTAGAGGGCAAAAGGTAAGGCCAAGTTCACATCACTTATGTAGATGGTTGGCAGTCAACAACTGTGCGGTTCACGCGAAACTTTCTGCCTCGCACAGCAAACCACTAGTCCGGTCGCATGGATTTTGAAAATAACCTATTGCGGTTACAGTACCTACTCTGACATGTCAGCTGAGGACTGTAATCTCATTTCGCTTCAGTGTTTCAGTAGCTTTAATGTTTCGTTCGAGAGCTTTTATGCCATGTTTTAGCATGGGGCCTTAAAGGATTATACTCGGATAGTTTTACCCACCTAGCATTTTGTAAAACTATTTATTACTTCTTTCTTCTTCACCCCACCCGGGAAGCCCCAGGCCATTGCTATTATGTGGCAAGCCCCGCCACATTTTGCGGCCGCTAGAGGCTGCTTCCCTACCTTCAATTGAAACGCGTGGCACTATAAGCTACTATTTACTCATATAGCGGACTTCTGACTCCCCTATTCAATTGCGTTCAGGCAACTCCTATGGATGACGGATTGGCCGCCACTTCACGGCGTAAACCACTGGCACATGTAGGGTGAGAAATAGTTGGGCGGGGCTGGTGTACGTGTCATGTTCTTGAACTGACGCCGCCTATTGCGACTGGTCAACTCGAGACCGTCCTGGGCCGAGGTCGCGGTGTCTCCTTGCGCTTACCCCGCAACCCTTGGGATCATTGAGATCGGCGATCTTGAGATTCATTTCTTTTTCGGATCCTTTGGCTAAACATTACTGTTTCACTGTTCACTCATAATAGAGGTGACTAAATTATGTAACAAAGAAGGCATTGTGAAATTGATTGAAAAAGAGTAACCATGAAGTTTTTGGTCCTTCTTCTCCATACGAATTTACACTTTCACAGACGGACAGACACATATTTAGGTACAGTTAAACCTTTTAATGTTTTTTTGCTTGACGTTCAAAAGTGCCTGTTGTAGTCTACTTGAAATAAAGAATTTGATTTGATTTGATTAAATTAAAGGAGACGACTGGTCTCCCTTCCCCTTTTTTTATAAACCTATCTACTTATGCCATAGTGTGCTGAACCAACTTAAGTGATTAGTAGGAGGATTGTTGTGGCAAGGGTTCTTATACATTGTTCAAAGTTCAAAATCAAGGAAATTATCGGATTTGAATGTTGAAATTTAAAGTTAGCAGTTACATTTCATCATCTTCCTGCCCTTGTCCCGTTTTATTTGGGCTCGGCGCAATAGGTTTTTTTCTTTCATTCTGAACTGTCATCCGTCACGCTATCACTAACTCCTCTGTCTTTCATATCACTTCTCACACAATCCATCCATATTTTCTTTGGTTTCCCTCTCCATCCATTCATCCACATTTATACTCGTGGCTTTTTTTGTAACATGCGTTTCATCCCTCCTTTTCATATGGCCATACCAAGACAAACGGTTCGCTTTCAACTTTTCAGTCATTGGCGCCACTTTCAAACTTCCTCTAATATACTCATTTCTCACTTTATCCATTCTCGTCCCACCACAAATCCATTTCAACATTCTCATCTCTGCTTTGCTTTTTCAGAGCCCAACTTAGGACTTGTAGATTTTACCCTTCAACCTGAGGAGCATCCGTGGGTCGCAAGTTGTTTCAGTGACCTGTCGCCCTTTTCTCCATCCTGAGTTGATCTGATGTGCCACGTCTCGGTCTATCTCACCATTTCCTTGGATAAGCGACCCAAGGTACCGAAAATCGGAACAGATTGGTATTGGCGTTCCGGCGAGAGCTATGGGCACAGGACTAGACTAAAATCGCAGAACAGGTACTCTGTTTTAGTTCTGCTCTATTTTAGGCCAATACTCTCCAATCTTTGCCACCAGACCTCCAATCTGCTCTGGACCTCTAAGGCACTCTCGGCAACCAGCACTATATCATCGGCAAACAGAATACACCAGGAAGCCTCTTCCTGAATGTCCGACGTCAGAGCGTTCATTATTATCAGGAAAAGGTAAGGGCTGAGAGCCGACCCTTGGTGCAAACCGACAGAACCGGAGAAATTTCCCATACTCTCATGGTATGCGACATTAGCTTTATTCCTCTATAATTGTTGCACTCAAGCACATCACCTTTGTTTTTAAAGATGGGCACCAAAGAACTGTTGTACCATTCATCAGGTATGGCTTTTTCCTGCAACAATTTATTGAAGAACAAAGCCAACCACACCCATCCATCTACTCTTAATAACTTCCACACCTCAACTGGTATTCCATTTAAGATGTATAAATTTAAAGAATATGTGGAAATTTAAAATTGTTTTTGTTTTTTTGTTTTGTTTAGAAAAACAACATTTTCAATGATTTCTCCTGTGTCATGAGTGCGTTTACTAACATACATTTTCATATACACTTCACACCCAGACCCGGAACAACAATTCGTGGATAAGTGGTGTTCCGCAAAGGAATCGAACCCGCGACATGTTGCACGGTAGCCAATTGCCTAACCAACGTGCCAACCGTGCAATCATCAAAATTGCCTCCTCTTTGTCTTTTTGAAGTATTTTTTTAAAATGTTCATAAATATCATTTTGATCTAGACCTTGATATATTACGCATACATACCAAGTATCGATAAAATCGGATAAGATCTTTTCAAGATTTCAGACTAGAAAGAAAATATGGTGCCAAACTGTTGTAACAAGTATTATGGCTTCATCATTAATGAATAACAATAAAAAAAGAAAATCACAACAGCTGTATTTTTTTTCACAATGTGTAGCAGATGAAATCCGTTACCAACTTCATAACTGAGACCAACCTTGATATTCTTTTTAGTAAGCCTTTAAACAACATTCTATATTTCAATATCTCCTCAAATGAGTGCTCTACAGAATAATGGTCTTGGGACTCGGAACTGACTCAACAGTAATATAAAAGCCAAAAGACATACAGGGACTGTTACTGAACGCTCCTTTTGAGAACCTTTTTAGCCCATTTTTGATTTTAGTCACATAACAGTCTAAGACACAACATATTAATTTGTATAAATAATATGTTGTGTCTTTGAATGTTATGTTTTGTTAATTCAAACAGGTTGCTTAAGAGTAACAGCTGCGTTTTAAGCATCTCCAAAGTTACTTTTTCAATATTAAAAATAGTATTGTATTGTTGTTTTTTTAATTATATAACAGGTGGTTTGTGTCCTGGTTTAAATGACTACCATCAGAGTCGATGACTTTAAGAAATGTCAGTGTCTCCGACTCCTTCAAATAAAATATTGTGTATAGCAACACAGGTAACGTCATAAGTCAGTTTTGTTTCTGGCTTAAAGGACTTGTAACCAGGCCATAAACCCAAAAAAAGTCAGTTTACTTTCATTCGTTCAATCAATCATTCACTGCTACAGCCGGTGTGGAGCGTTGACCCGCAAAGTTTCATACGGCGGGATTTTTAAATCTTAACAACGAAACAATTTCTTTGATTTGATTGTAACGGTGGTATGATTAAATTATTTTGAGAAACATCTGTTTAGAAATTATTTAATGTCTGTTACAGGAAAGAAAATGGTTATATGTACCAACATGTCATTGTATCAATCACATTCAATGTAATGTCGGATGCTAAAACAATAGAAAAATAAGATGGAAGACAGAAATCGGTAAGAAATTGAATTAACAAGCAGTAATGGTTATGTTCGTGTTTACCTACGTTGTGCTAATGTTTGTTTTCACAGATTTAGATGTTGTCCTAAATGTAAACCTTGTGCGGGAAACTTTAAGAAAGTTGTTCAACTTCAACAGTCTGGCCTTTCCATTTACGTTTACGCAAGGAAAGATAATCAGGTAGGTACTAATTTAAAAGGCTCTCTTTTAGAAGTTATAAAGAGTAACTGGTTTCAATAACTTATAATAGTTACCTTTTGTGTTTTGTTGTTGATATTACCTACATGTTATTTAGGGAATCTTTTTTTAAGTTTTGACGGTTTTATTTTAAATCTGTAACTTTATAATTCTTCAAAAATGTTCGATCGATCTTCTGTGTGTCGGGATGGTAAATTATTTCCCGACGCATCCCTGGCGAGTAATGCAGTCGCGACAGCACCGCCGGCCCGAGCGCCCGTTGCGCGTTGGTGCCTAAGTTATACACACATTAGTGCACGTGAATTCTTTTGTAAATATAAACATATGAATAATTAATAAAATGTGAATCAATTGGGACATGGAAAAACCAAAATGTGATGTGATATCATTCTTAGTGACACATTTACACCGAAAAACATTCCCAGTAGAAGTATTGGTAGACATTTGCTTAGAAAAGTTTTCCCATGAAGATATTATTTTCACAAGAAACATTGTAACCGACGCTTTCGGAGAAAAAATTGACTACTCTAAACCACGTTCAGCTGAAACTAGTAATATTCGGCAGGATCTGTACAGAATTATTTTTTATCTGAGATTGGTTCCGTGTGTGGAAAATAAGTTGAATGATTACACGGACGCGATAGAAGAAACAGCACTTTTGGCTCGATTAGATGGTATGAGCCAGTTGGTTAGTGATTTACGCGGTGTACTAAGCATTCCGAGTGAGAACATGCAGTCTAAAGACTCACCTTCTAAGCCAGGCCCAAGCAAGAATGCAAAAAGTGATAATAAAGATGCCAGATCTGATGCCACCGCAGAACAAGAAATGCAACCAAGCGGTTCTTCGGAAACGGAAATGTATGCATTGTATTGTGACAATATACACTCGTATACCCAATGTACACCAGCTGGATATCATGACGACAACATGGACCTCGAATCTTCGAAGACCAGACAAAACAGACGAGTTAAATTGCCGCAAATGGAGGAAAAAGAAATTAAACCTGAAGACAATAGTGGATGCCTACCCCCTCCTCCCGTCCCGCTGGCTGATGGACTTAGGATCAACCCCGTCGAGAGTGCGAATGAAACATTTAATCTTATAACTGCCATCGCACCCTCATTAAGCGTGAGCACTCTGAGAGTGAACCCACCTCTGGTGGTTGATGTCACGAGTCAACCACAAGTACAAATGCCAGTTGCACAATCTCCACCCGCAATAACCACCCATCCAGTACGACGTAACTCGGATGAAGAGCAACCAATGTATAATTTTGATGCTTTAGCGGAAAGAGCATTTCACCAACTCTTCCGCCAAGATTCTGTATCCACTGATAGTAGTTCATCAGACCGTAATTCATCGGATAATAATAGTTCGTCGGGTCTTAGTTCGTCAGGTCTCAGTACATCGGGTCTCAGTTCGTCAGGTCCTAGTTCATCGGATCCGGTCGAAGAAGGGTTGAGCAGTATAAGCAATGACAGTAGTAACCTGACCATATCTTCAGGTAATAGTAGCTTAAATGAGGAAGCACAGGTGCTACTAAACAGCTTTGCGCCTACTAATGGGCCAAGGTTAATAGCTCCAGGAGTAGCCGCTCCACGACCTACGGGGGCCCCGGTTCATGAATTTATTAGGCCTGCCGATCTCTGGGGCCCACCCCTTACACAATCAGAGAATCCTCCTCAAGAAACGGTAGCTGCTCAACCACAATCTGGCGCCGACGACGACAGCACCGACAGCTTGCAGGAAATGCAACCTTCTAGTCCCAAAAGGCGTCGCCCGATGGAGTGAATTATTAAAATAGCCTTCGCATCGCAATGTGTTAGTGCAAGATGTAACTATGTAACTATACTTAATATTATTGGTTGTGTTTTATATTTAGATTGATGTTGGTGATTTGGTAACAAAAATTTACGGTATACAATGTGATATATGGCTCTAAGGTCAATTAAAATATTTATATTTTTTAACGTATCTATATACCCATCTACCTTATATTATATTAGAAAACTATGATTCATTATCTGTCCAGCTTAGCTATCTCTGAAGAATAATATATGAGTTGCGAAAAAAGAAAAACCTTTATCAAATTAAACGCCAACATTCACATACCGAACAAATTTTAACTGATAAATAATACTTAAACAAATCAAACTAAAATTGGCTGTTGAATACAATTATTTCATTTTATACATTTTTGTAAGTACGTATTTAATTCGATGAAAAAGATATTATTATCTACATTTAAAAGTAGTTTTGGATGGCACGGCCTAATTATATCTAAAATAATATATACAGATAGCAAATATAAAAACTGAATTTTAGAAATATATTAATATAATAATAAAAGTAAATCAAAACACACCAAATTTTCCATATTAAAAAAAAACGGTCTGTAAATGCACTGATGGCATCAATCCATTCAATATGGAAGACATATTTAACGAGAATTTTACAATATTGATATTGAGTATTGTCATTATACTAAAACAATAATTACTGTCCGGTCACAGAATAAATATTTCTTTAGAAATCTACTTATTACCTATTTAAAAAACTTATTTAGAAAAAAAAAAACAATCGACGTTTTATATTTTTTATAATATTTAGTTCACCCCTTATTATATTGTATTTATACCAAAAGTTTCATAATGTTATATATTTATTAGGTACTTATTATGTACATAGGCATTTGGTGGAGCTTTTTTGTATTGAAAATAAGTGTTGTTTAGGCCAAAATTAAAATTAATTATAAACCTTTAAAACTATATATTATATAGGTACGTTTTACAGATAGCTTTGTAAATATTTTTCCTAGTTTAAGAAAGGTTAAAAGTGAAATATATTGAAAAAGTGAATATAACTATGGTATGTGCGAACGTGATAATTGAACAGAAATTTACGGGAGGTAATGGAAAAAAAATTGACTGTTTTGAAGTCGTGGTAAAAGCATACTTTTATGATACTCATAATTAGATTTAAGGTTATAACAACAGTCAATGTTATAAGTGTATTAATGGGTGTGTCTACTATAGATTAAGCCATGTCTATGTTTAAGGCGTAGATAACATTATTCCTTATCAATGCCCGCAATGCTCGCATATCCATGACAAATGTTTTCAAGCCAATGCAATGGTACCTTTTTATTACTAAGCACAGCGACTGTGTGGTATTTATTGCGATTTTTTAATATATACATTTAATGCTGTGCTATAATAAATAGAGCAAGTTTTGTGATATAAAACAAGGACCCATTACGAAGGAGGTAAAGCTAGCTGATAAATTCAATTGTCTTCAATATTTTATCATAAGACGTTGATTCAAACCATGTGACCATTGTCATTAACCTCTTTGGGAACCAGGGGCTTTTAAAGGATTATGATTGGCAACTTTCCTATAATATCTCTTGTTTATCTCGTGTTTCTCAGCCCATAGTTATAAGTGTTCATTACTCTTATATGAAAACTCATGAAACATTTCTTTTGCACTATGTGAATTGAGAATTAAATTATTGTTTTTTTTTTGTTTTCAGAATTTACAAAACAACTGCGGGCATTTATGTAGTTTGTAAGCTATATTTGTAGTGTAAATAACTATAATTTTTGTGTAAGAAACTATACTTAAACATTGTATCCAAATAATTTATGGATAGGTAATATAAACGCGATTGCAAAAAATACATCAGAATATTTTCTGGTAATTATAGTAATCATGTCACGTTGGATTTCTTAATACTTATAAAATGTAAATAATTTGTGAGTAGGTAAGCATAGGTATTTGGTAGGTTTAAAGAAAAGAGGTCTGCATGAACGGGAACCCGAATTTATGCTTCGATAATTTGTACCGACTTATTCATGGTCGAAAGAAAAACTTGAATTAAATGTGAACTTAAAAATAAGAAAAGAACAAAAAAATATTTGTAATTTATGTGTGTGTACCTACGTATATGTAATATTATACTATGTGGAAAAGGTTATGTTAGGGCTTCGTAGTGCCTAACTACTTTTTAGATAAGTACTTGTACTCGTATTCATTTTTAAATAATAAGTCTTAGATAGAAAGAAACTTTAAAAAAATATGTCTGCACGAATGTAAACCCGAATTTATTCTTCACTTATTTGAGCCCCCATCTGTTACGTTCTTTATGGTTTTAGATAAATTTCAGTACAATATTAGTACTTAAATTTAAAAAAAAAATATTTTCTCAAAATTTACTCAATTAATTTAAGTATGATGAATAATATCAGGCCTTATTAAACAGCTGCTAAGAAGCTCATATTGTAATTTCAAATTCCCGCATTGTGCAAAAGGTACTGCTGGATTTTCTTACTAAAATGACCATAGCCAGGTGCCATAAAGTTCGATGGTAGCCCCCTCCTAGCTCGGAAAGAACGTAAAACCTTAAAAACCTCCTTGGTCTGACTTTAACAATAGACCGTGTTGGTCTGCCCTCCCATCGAACTCAGAGAGTGAGTGGGCTATCTCTTGTGTAGGGCTGTTTAAAGAGCTTTGCTACCATCATATAAATCGATTACTAAGCTTTAAATATACCTTATATTTATAAAAAATATATTTAAAGGCTTTATCGTGCCAAAGTACTAAAACATTACTTGTTTTTATTTCGAATATTTTGAGTCATGAACATCGTGAATTTTAATTTTATTATACGCTATCCCGTGGCTGTCTTGATATGACAATGAAAATATTAACTTAAAATGAATATAAAATTATTTCTTTTTTGGAGTAGTCTTGTCCTTTATTTATGAGTTGATTGATGAGTTTGTAGAAACTAAAAACTTCAATAGCGACCCGATATTACCTAATGAGCCATTAATTTTTCTCAATTTTCATTTTCACTATAATAAGGATTATCAACTTCTATATTATATGAATTATATTCAAAATAATCATATTGACGTCATAAGCCACAAAAAAAACTAAGCTTAAAATTAATCAATATTTTAAAATACGTTATTAATTTGATTAATGTAACTATAAGATGTTTGACAGAGTCGCCATCCTTTTATGTAAAAATGTTTTAGGTCTATTGTATTATCAAAAATTAAATACTTAGCTGCGGGAAAACTATGTTTACTACACGCTGTACAAAATTACAGAAGAGATCTCTATGAGCATAATAAAACCCGAATTTATTGTTCATTTATGTCCAAAACTTTCCTGTATATGTGTGTCCTTTGATATGTGGTATTAAATTGAATTGAAAAAGACAGCCATTGTTTTAATTATTATTAGGTCATCCGTCTTTTTTTTTCTTGCTATAAACTAGTGCTTGACAGCGATCCCACCTGATGGTAAGCAGTGATGCAATCGTTGATCTGCCTTATTCCCCTTATACAGTAAAGGATAACATAAAATTTCTCCTGTAATAAAGAGAAACAGACAATTCATTTTCACATACACATTGACGATTCAAAACTTATCTCCACATTTTTTTTTCTTTTAAAAATACCTTATTTTGTATAGGTAGGGACATAACAACACATATAATTTGGCTTTATACAAGTAGTATTGTCTGTGACAGTTCTTTTTGGCATTAATACTCTGAAGAATATAAGTTTGTAAGGTGACAAATAGGTGAAACAAAAAACTTGCTTTGTTTTCAAAGAAAGTATGTTCATGCAAGAATGCAAGTGGAATGGAGTGCGGATAGCTTGGTGATGGTGACGGATGGCTTGGTGGCAATTAATGATGATGATTGTGCCAATACTAATGTAGAAAAATGCTTAAAAGGAGTTTGAAAACCATTTTTTTTTACATGCAATAAACTAGTGCTTGACTGCGATCCCACCTGATGGTAAGCAGTGATGCAATCGTTGATGGTAAGGCGCACTAGTTTATTAAGAGCCTATTCACTCTAGCCTTGAACACACCTAAATTGTATTCGGACGGAAAGACTGCAGCCGGCAAACTGTTATTAGATAGGGTTAGGCTTAAACCTTTATGAAAGATGAAGATTGTTATAAATTCTGTAATGTTCAGTACCTATTCGTAATAATGCCACCACGTTTGGAGAAAAAGACTCCTTGAAAATGGTTAAGCATACAAAGAGGTAGTTACAGTTAGTGCACCCCTAATTTGGGACACAAACATTCAGTCTTTTACATAGTTCTCACTAGTGATGCCCTACAAATATTTAATTATCTGCTTTCACAGTTATATTTACGCAACACAATGGAGTAGGTATTATTTTTACTCATCTATTTTATACCTACCATTGAGTTTGAAAATAAAAGTAACTGCCTACTTACTTCTACTTGTTCTGATACAGACAGGCTCGACTGACCATTCCGATGACACTTTCATCGTGCGCAACACCGGCAAAAGGAAAATTAGGAATACAGAATATATCAGTGAACTACGTAAGTATAATAAAAATTCTAACTTGTAGGAATATTTTGACATCATCATCACCTTATAAGTGTTCACTGCTGAGAAAATGTGTCTTCTCACTCGGAGAAGGTTTGAGTTATTATTATTACGCATATTTAAGTCGGACTGGCGATTTCATTTAGAAATTACAGATCCAGATTCGCGATGTTTTCCTAAAACATGTGTTAGTGGTGTCTAAAAGACATTGGCGTTATAATTATAAACAATTTGGGACTTGTCCATCCCATCCATCCAACTCAATTTCAGTCCAGTTTTGAAACACAGTTATGTAGAGTGATCCATTTGAATCATATCTTCATAAGTACCAACAGATTTAGATAAGAGCATAGTATTCGTTATTTTATTACAAAATTTTTAATTTCCTTTTTTTTTAACAGATCGATACAATTCAAAATGTACACAATGCAAAATTGTAGTTGATAAAGTTCGCTGTCTTTTAAATGAAATTAAAACTATAAAAGAAAATGAAACTGTTGGTATTTGCAATAATTGCAAACGATCAGGCAAAGTAACATGTGCTAAATGTGAGTATATAGTAAAAAAGTTTGTTGATAACTGTGAAAGGGGTCGCAATGAAAGACAAGAGCGTTTTAAAGTTTGGCTTAGCAAAGTGAAATATTTACTTCAATCTATACTAACTGAAGAGGGAAATTCACCCTGGAGTCACTATGGAGCGTATAAAGATGCCGAATTGGAAAGACTTTTAGAAGATCTAAAAGAACCACTGGATATACGACAGCCAGATATAGATGTCTTTCCAACTTTGGAAGATGAGCTTTCATCTATGCAAGCTTTGTCCGACAGTAAGATATTACTTGAAGAATTACTTTCTAAGATTAAACCTAAAACTGGAGAACATACCGCAGATTTGCCTGCGTGTAAAAACATTTGTATATGTAAAGACTTAAAAGAAAACCACCCCGAAGAAGTGTCACCTGATTTAGCTGAAAAAGTATATGACGGGTCTCGAGCTACGATACTATTTGGAGAACCTCTAAAGGACCTCGACATATCATTAAGTCAAGAAGAGTGTAGAGACTTAGTAAAAAGATTAATTGTATTAAGCCAAGATCTACCAGAAGAAATAAATTCAAATAAAGAATTGATACTAGATATTATTAAAACCATAGATATTGCTTCTAAACTGGGATTATCTAGATGTATTGTAAATAAACTAATAAGGCAATTAAGAGAACTAGACATATCCCTTGGATATGAAATGTATAAAGAACTGAATAAAAATGTGATTAATAGACTGATTAGTGATTTATATGATTTTCTTATGGTAGGATCTTCTCAAACTATAAATAAAGGATTTTTAAAATTATTGATGTTACTTAATAATTTACTGATGAGTGAACTGGCTAAGAAAATAGACAGGCAAGCTAAAGAAAAAAGTATATCAGAAAGTGTCAGGAAAGAAATAAATTATGAAGATCAGACTGATATTGATAAAACAGTTACTAAAATCGAAGCTAAAGAATTACAGCACAATAAATATGAAATTCCAACTAAAGATACAAATGAAGGCTTACTTGAAAATAAGTACGGAGCCAAAAATCAAATAACAATAGAAAGATCAAAAAAATTAGATTCGTCTAAAGAAGGTAAAAAAGCTTCACAAGATTTACCAAAAAACTTTGGAGATAAATTACAAAAGTCTATAAAAAATTCTGTACTTAAAGACAAAGATGTTTCACCTAAAACAGGAAGCATAAAAAGTATGCATGCTCCTGGCGGAGTAAAAAATTTACTTGATAAACATAAACTACCACCAATATTTAGAAAAGATGATGAAGAAAGTAAACCTCCAAGTGCCAAAAGTAGAACTAAGGACACGATATCTACAATTACACAGAAACAGGCTTTGTCTAAAGTAAAACCCAAAAAAAATGTTGAGGCGACGAGAACTAAGTACGATTTACGAGAACAGTTGGAAATACAGAAAGGTGAACAACAAAATAGAACTATTTACAGTCTAGAAATAGAAGCAGCTTTAGAAAAAGCTAAAAATAAGAAACAAAATAGGATTGAAGAGGAGACAACGAAACGTTTGGAGCGTAAACCAATTATTCCATTGTCATCTACACAACTTCGGAAAGCAAAGCAGCTTTCACAACTTATACTTGAAAAAATATTGCACTACGAAAAAACAAATGATATGAAAGAAATAAAGGAAGAGGCACGGGAAGTTAAACAATCGGAAAACGAAAAGGCAAGGTCTGAACTAGTTATGGAAAAGATTCGTCCAACTTTAACAATAATGGATACCTCATCTAGTACCAGTACCACGACTATTTCAAATGTCATCGAATGTTTAGCAACTCATGAACGAATACGAAAAACACCGAAACTTATGATTCAAGGGGAAAGAATTGTACCATATAACGCTGAATATGTCGATAATTTGCATAAAGGCAAACATCCTATAATCAAAACACATGATTTAACAGAAGTTCCTGAGCGAGATGACGTTGAAAAAGAAGCTGAATCTTCTATAGACCATGACGTAAGTAAATAGTTCATAGTAGTAACTTATTTTCAAATCTATGACAATTTTTTAACCGTCGAGTAATTACAAATTAACAAGGCACGTGTGCGTTAAATCCCGTAAAACAGTAACGTATTAATGGTTTTAACTGGCCACAGTAGGTAAGTGAGAAAAACTAATAGATTTCACTGTCAAACCTAAAAATAAGGTATAGACAATGATACGTACTCATTGATATGTATTTCACTCTTCTTAATCGATCGTAAGGCATCTATGATCCCCGGCACATTCAATGGTTAGACTTTTTGTTATAAGTAATAACGTTTAATATCAATTAAAATGTTATTTTTTAAATAGGTATACAATAACTAAAATAATGTGAACTTGTAACCCCTTCGAAAACTCAAGGAATTATTTTTATAAGCTGAGTAATTCTATGTGTTATGCGGCAGGTCATATAATTTATCAACTGATTACAATAAATTAAATAGCACGGCCAATGACAGGGCACAATCATATGAAAAATGGATACGTATTTTTTGTCAAATAGTATAAGATAAAAATACTTAAGTAAAACAAAAATTTCGATTGTAACGTCCCTTTGTCACCGATTAGAATAATATTATGTTCAAAATATGTAACATGATATTTTATTATGCCTCTTATGATATTGTTCTATTGCTCTGCGTCTGGGTGTACCTAAGTGTATGTGAAATTGTATGTTTGTAAAACGTTAATCTATACATATTATTTTGAATTTAAAATTATTATATTTGACCATAACTAAATAGTCATTATCCCAATTATACCAAAAAATAATTGTCATAATCAAAATGACAAATGAAACTAACGTATGCTAAAGTTAGTAAAATTGAATAATTTCAAATGCAATTAGCGGAATAAGACTAATACAAATCTAGAATATTTGGATTAAAATCGATTTTTCACATTAATTTTTTAAATTTATGCCAGAAACCTACATTGAATAACTTTCAGATGATTTTGATTGAACGGTTCTAGGGCTAAATTCATTGATTAGTTTTGCATTGTATATAGTATTATTAAAACTGTGGACTTACGAACTAGTTTTAATTTTTGTGTTAACACAACCTTATATAAATACGTCCCATTATTAATATTTTAGTTTCGTTTTCCTATTTAGCTACTCATAATTTTAGCAGCTACAATGTTTGTGTGGTTTTAGGAAATTGAAGGGGACGGGATACTCAGATATCGATTATCTAGCAGAGAATTTATAGAAAAAGGCTGGACGATATTGCCGACGTTGAAGATTATGCGAAGGGTTTGTATTAGTTTTTGCTTTCAGACGAGTACTGGTCCTAAATAATGTACTTATTATTTTTTCTTTTAATACATAAAATACTCAATTTATTTGTATCAACCTACACTTTATTAGTAACAGTTCTATGCCACAATAATTATTTAAAGGTACAATTAAAGTAGAATGATGGTTTAGCCTTTAAGGCTTGATTTGATTGACTTTTTATACAGATGAATATATACAAGATGGTACCATCCCAACCACATCGTGATTGGTTTAGTTTAAATAAAAATCGTCAGCTCTACTATGATACTGGAGAAATATTAGCCTCTGTTAATTCTGATGGTCGTGGTTACTGGTATTACAGTAGCGGACCCGTTGCATTAGAATATTATAATGCTAAAGGTATGTTTTGTTTAATATTTGTATAACTAATCGACGTTGAACAAATTAATATCATTAAATATTCTATATGGGCTTTATGCTGAGTACAGGCAAAGACCTTTGGGGTCACCGTGTGAGACTTTTCTTGTCTCACACGATCAGTTATCTATATTTATACTAATATTATAAAGAGGTAATTTTTGTATGAATGTAAGTTTGTAAGTTTGTATGTAGGAGGAAATCTTTGGAACCGCTGGTCCGATTTCCAAAATTATTTCACTGATAGATAGAGCTACAATGTTCCTGAGTGCTGTAGGCTATAAAACATCACGCTACGATTAAAAGGAGCCGAGCATGGGGTGAAACCGCGTGAGAATAGGTATATGTACAAAATCATACCAAGGGATACGACATTAAGATGTACTTCCATGTGAGTTTCAATAACCATCTTGTCATGGCAATCACTACATAGACCGGCATTGAGTTTTCATTCAGGTGTCGTAAGAGCCAACGAACAACAAATACCTAACAATATAAAGATAGAAATCGGCCAGCATTGCTTAATTTTCAATTTAAAGCGCATTCCAGAGTGGTCACTAATGATGGTGTTTACTATTTACCTCACAGAACCCTATGTCGGACAAAGGTACGTGGTCTACAGCTCAGGAAAAGAGGTGGAGCATGGTAGGCTTAAGCCACGTACGATTCTGGCATTATTTGACTTACAAGGAAATGGTATAGTCTACGATCATTATGGAAATGTCAGGTAACGCGTACAATAAAGATACTTTGACTTTCACTTTGTTACATATGTACAGAAAAATATACAAGCACCTATGTTTTGACAATGCGCTAATAATTGGGTAGTTTCCTAGGTCAAAAATAAATTAATTCAACGTTTCAATACAATAAAATATTAAAAAACATCTAAAACTTAGTGTATCGATTGATCGATGAATAAAAGTAGGTATAGTTAACCTACTTTTATTCATCGATACACTAAGTTTTAGATGTTTTTTACCTAATTATTAAGAAATAAGTAAACTATTTGACGCAAAAATACTATGACGTCATAACTCAGTTTTTCATACAAATTTCATAGAAAAGTATTGTTTTTGACATTTGGATAAAAATATTGAATTTGACTAGTTGGAAACTACCGTATTGTTAAATTTTACAATTAGGTGTGTGGCATAGCCACGCGGAGAGTCGAATATGCCGTCTCAACCGAAGTTATTAGGAAATCAAAAGGAGGTTACCGCAGGCCCGTCCCCGTTTCTTAGTGTTACGTCTAATGACTTACCCAATAAAGTTGTAGATTTTCCGTCGACAATGTGATTTCTTTTTTAACTGCAGTTCAACGTAAATTATCGAATCGGAAAAAAAAGATAAGGGCCACTATTTTCTATAATAATGTCATGGTAATCACGTTTAAAGCCTTACAGAAAACCATCGAGAAACGCGAAATTACTAACTTTTTACACATTTTCTTAATGTTACTGAAACAACAAGGTGCTGTTTTGAAGTATATAAAAAAAAATACAATGCCTATTTCTAAAATCATTTTAAATGGCAGAGCAAAAAAATTGCTTCTGTCTCTTTCTAACTTTTCCAGCAACAGCAATAGAATGTATTGCTATTCTTGCTAAAATACGTGATTTTCGGGACGCTTCTAAATAGCGGGGCGTGGCTTGCATGTGATTGGTTGGCACGGTGACCTAGTAGCCTGAAATTTAAGACGCTTTCCGTATCTACAGGTGGTTTCTAAGTATATGGTTTTATTTACAATATAACAAAGGGAACTTACGCACCTCAATTTCGAGTCACAATATAACGTTACATATACCTACACAGCTCAGAGTTTAAAGTAAATTCTCATATTAAAAGAGTGACTATAGTTAGTTATTCTTTTTTTCACATTGCCTGTAAATTCCGTTATCAAATGGCTGGTATATTTATTAACACCCGGTTTCCGAAAGACAGATCAATGTTATTTTAAAATCAATTTAATCTCTTGTCAAGTCGTCTGATTGGTTGACTGAATTGTCAACAACCAATCTTGACTTGACAAGAGATTGAACAGGAGATTAGTTAATTTTAGCGTTGACAAGCCTTTCATAAACCGGGCGTAAGTGCTATATATTATGTATATAGCACTTAATAAATTTTAATTTAATTCTTATCCTACAGACTGAAATATAACCAATCAGAAGGTGTTCTGGTAGATCCTACACTAGGGTCGCCAAGCAAATGGAAATGGCACACGTTAAACGACCCTCCGGTCTTGCAGCAAGTAATTTTAAATCCACATCTTAAAGTCCGAGATAGTGGAATTGAACGTCTAGGAAAAACTCAGAGGGCGCTCGACTCCAACCCTGTTCAAAAGGAAATTGATCCTGAAATGATAGCGATAGAACTAGACAATTTCGCCAGAGAGAAAACTTCGAAATTAATACAGAAATACAAAAAGTTGGAGATTAGAATGAAGGCTATCAAACTGAATGAGCAGTTTTCATTGAGAATTCACGACCAAGCCACTATTCATTTGTTTTTCCGTGATGGGACAACTAGCTTGAAGTTGAATTTGGGCTTATTGTTGATTAGCGACGAAATTGTTGATACGGATACAGCAGAGATGACGGATGTTTCGACACCGTACGACAGATTGCCTGCCAAGAGTCCGAGTGTGGCAGATATTCAACAGTTTTTGAAGTTAGTCAATCTTCGGAATCAGACGTCATTCCCCACTCAAATCTAACTAATCATATCTTTTTTATGTGACCGTTCCGCAAATGACTGAACGGATTACCTAATGTTAAGCGTTTTGCGCCGCCCATGGACACCCGCAACACCAGAGGGCTTGAGAGTACGTAGTCTGCCCTTTCGGGATTAGGGTTTCAAAGATTTTGAGATTTGAGATTGGGGAGCTATGAGGAGAGAGGAAGTGGACGTGGGCCTTTGGTGATAAACTCACTCACACGGCGAAACACAACGTATGGTTGTTTTAAGCCGGTTTTCTGTGAGACCACTCTGGCCGAACCGACCCATTCGTATTGAAGCTTAGCTCTCCAAATATCACATTTATTTATTTCATTTTTTGATTATGAGATATTCATCTTGAGGATATAATTTGAGTTTCTTTTATGGTAAGGAAATTTTGACATTTGTTGTAAGAATAAATGTTGCGTTCAAGTTTTTATTTATTTTAGAGAGATTTATAGTTGTCTTAGAAAGACAAATATAAAGAATAATTATGCAAGATAAGAAATAAGGTTACATTAAGTTTATTTTAATAATAATAAGCAGGTTTTCGACTAAGTTTTCTTTTAGTACGTTAAAAAATATGTTTTAGGTTTTTATGATAATAAGAATGATATATGTTTTATAGTATAAAGAAAGGTTATGTTTAAGTTTCTTTCATGATTATGTTTAATGGCGATTTGGATACGAATTCCACAACTAGTTTTAAGCGACGCTAGAAATTATCTTTCTAAGCTGCATTTTTCAACTCACAGTGCGGCGTGTTTTTTTTTATGAAACCTTAAGTTTAGCTTTGTGTAAGATTTATAAAACTTAATTATATCATTGAGAAGTTAATCATTTAGTTTTATTTCTCCTGCATTTAATTGCTATTTCCGATGGGTGTCATTTATTTCAAACGATTTTAGGTAATTTTTTAAAAAGAGAATTAAAACAATAATCTTATCTAACAAAACAAAGATTATGAATTTACGGCTAAATGCATTCAATACTAGGCCTGATGACGGTGTGTGAGGATGAAAGAGATGACACGATATATTGAAGAGATGCATATTGCTATCTCTGTTTGTTGTTGAAACAATAACCACTGATGATTCTGCCAGGGACTTAAATTAATTTGGGATTGACGTGTGCAATGTGCGTGTGGGTATTGCGTTGCATAGGGCTTGTTTTCATTCTACTATAGAACAATGGCGGCTAATTTCAGCTAGAATTTGGTTTCGTGTCCCTTAATTAAAATCAGCCTGGTATGTCAGTGCCTGTACATTATAGTATTTGACGAAACTAAGGAATTGCCTAGATTACTATTATCCTTGGGGCTATATACATATATTATAAAGCAGCTAGTTAATATATAAGTGTCTGTGTCTGATATATAGGCACTGGACCTCACGTGTGCTCAATTTTTTTTGTGATAGGTCGGCAATCGAGCATACCTATTACCTGATGGTAAGCAATCTGCGCCGACATCTGCAATACCAGAAGAATTAAGTCACACGGCGAAACATAACGTTTTTTTCTTTCATAACAATCTAAGAACAAAAAAATGTGAACATTTTAAAGTAAATGAGTGTGTGAACAGCTAAACATATAAAATTGTTCAATCATTTGCGAGAATAATAATGTAGAGAACATTATTTTACTTCTGACACGATTGAACTTTGTTTTTATTTGAGCTATTGCATTTATGGCTCACATATACAATTTCACATAAATATCACACCTAGACCCGGAACAACAACTCGTGTTTAAACATATCTTAAACACATCGTAGTATCAGTGATGACTGAATGTAGCAGTTCAGGATCATCATATCATCAACCTATAAGTGCCCAATGCTAAGCAAAGGCCTCTTCTCACGTGGATAAAGTTTGAGCATTAATCACCATGCTTGCTCAAGACAGATTGGCGATTTCAAACCTATAATTCGAAATAAAAACCCCGGGTTTCCTCGCGATGTTTTCCTTCACCGTGCGTCAGTGGTGTCTAAATAATCATAGAAAGTACATATCGTGGTACATATGACTCGGAAAAAGTAACATTGGTACTTACCTTGTTTCGAACCCTCCTTGTACATGAGAAGCGGGCGCCCTAACCTTGGGGTTTCCAGGAAGAATTTTATTCAGGATACAACGTTTCATTGGTAAATTACACCGTTTTATGACAACAAGTAGTAGACTTCAGTATCAATGAACGTTGGTATTCGTTCGCGAATGTACTGCTGACTCGAATACCGCTTATTCAATTAACTTACCACTTAAATTCATAACGCCCTGTATGTAGTTATGACAGATTATTTGTTGGTTAGTGTCGTTGGAACTAAATATGTTTCAATTGTTTTTGGTTAACGAGACTTTAAAATAAGTTTTCATAAAAACATTAGAAACTTCAAATTAGAAAATTATACCACTATTATTTTTTGTTTTCAACAAATTATGATTTTATTTTCCAGACACAAGTCATATCCATCCATTATTATATAAGATGATTAAAGGATGTGTAATATACATTTGAAGAGCATTTATTTCTAAAGGACTAAATTAAAAGCTTTCATGTTTAGTTAGCTCTATTCGCCATTAATTTCTAAGATGCTTAAAGACACAGCATTCCTCTAAGCACTAACTAATCTTGGAAATTAACGGAGCGTCTCTGCCATGTAGGTACTTACTTAGTTCGGAAATTGTACCTAGAACTATGTTTAAAAGGAATATAGCTCAAAGCTAATCTGACGGTTAGTGAGGTAATTAAATAAAATGTAACTGCGAATGTCAAAGTAATAATATTTTCTCTAGAGTTTGATCTGTTATGAAAATTGTTATATATCATCACATACCGTTAGCTTTTAAGCCCCCACCGCTAAGCAAAGGCCTCATCTCATCGGAGATGGTTTAAGCATTTATCACTACGCTTGATCAAGATTAGCGATTTATTTCCAACTCAACCCATAACTTGAAATTAAGTCCAAGTTTACTCGATGTTTTCCTTCACGGTATGTCAGTGGTATCTAAATAATCTTTGAAAGTACATAGCTGTTACCTATTCGAAAGAAGTCGCATCAAGCGAGCCCCTAAACCTCCAGGCCGCCACGACCCGTAAAATATCTATTAATCTATTAAAATAATTTCTGTTTCAGACCTTACCATGATTCGCATAGCAGGAACTATAGAAATAAAAAGACAATTATTAAAGCCACGTGACGATACAATGTTCTTAAATTAAAAAGGGCAAATCTTGAGTCAAGCGTCTGTTGAATCAAGTGATCGGCTCAATCAGTTTCATTATTCCATAGTTTATAATGTGTGTGTTTATGTCTTGAAGTCGCTGACGACGCTCGTGTGAATGCCGTGTCGCATCACTGTCTATAACAAATATTGAGACGTCGAACGCTTCCTCCGCCTTTGACGATGTAAGACTTCATTGCATCGGTATCTCGGGTCTTCGCTTCGACTAGTATTTCTCAATCAAGATACCTAGTTAACTAAATATAGTTTACACTGTGCTCTGATTGCTATACATGTATTTTTAAGTTTGGAAAAGCTATGCTTAATGCACGGGCCGGCTTAAAGTAACAAAACCGGCTTAAAGTAACCAAAGCGCTATGTTTTATCTTGAGAATACCAGAAGCCCAATCCACGCCTTATCTCCAATCCCCAAACGCTAACCGCCCAGAAGGCCGGCACCGCACTTATAATTCCTCTATTGTTGCGGCTGTTCATGGATGATGCCGATTGCTTACTAGCTATCAGGTAATGCATTTGATCATTTGCACCCATGTTACATAAAAAGAATTAACAAATGGTTTTTAGTAATCAACGCTCCCAAGCAAATCGCATGGAATTGCCATAGGAGGTTCATGTGCGTTATTCATTGAAGATTAAGATTGGGTAGTGGAATTTAGGTAACCTCATACGAGCCGAAACATAACGAAAGCGTGGTTTCACGCATTTTTACAATAAAATTAATAGTACCTTCACTATCAATGGTGTCGGTGTTATACAACTATGTGCTGTCATATGTATGCTCAAAACTGTAATGTTAGTTGACATTAGTTTCTACTACTACTACTACTACTACAACTATAATTTCTATCTTAAAGTCATGACACGAATTTGGTAAGTCGTCAAGAATCTAACGTGACGTTGAAATGACTGATATTATGTTGGAAAACCAGACCCATCCATCATTATATCATGACAATATGGATAAATAGTATTAGTAACGTAAGGGTGCCAGACATGCAATTAAAAATGTATTTTAATGTAATAGATCATCGTACCAGTTTCGTTTGCAACTCCGCAGAGGGATTGTAGAAGGAAAACTCTTTATCTGTAGTATATCTAGTCTATTATGTAGTTTGTAGTGATCAGAATTTCTGTTATGTATAATATCTTAATTTATGCTCTTACATGACTAAAACAAAAACGATATTAGTTATAACATTGCTTCTAAAATGATATCTACAAAGTACTGCTGTTTTTTTTATGTCGGAGTTCTCCAAACGACTAGACAGATTACCTGATATGTTAAACAATTGGCGCGGCCTATGTATTTTGCCGGACTTTTGGGGCATTTTATAGGGATTTGGGATGGAGGAAAGAGTAATCTGGAGGGTCTCCAGTAACCTCACTCACAAGGCGAAACACAACGCTGCGGTTGTTTCACGCTGGTTTTCTGTGAGACCGTGGTATCAGTCCGGTCGAGCTGACCCATTCGTGCCGAAGCATGGCTCCCATACTTAAACATTCCCTCAAATACGTTTAAATACATTATTTTATCCTTCATATGTCCAAAAGAGTCACGAGTGCGTTGCCGCCCTTTTGGGGATAAGTGTTTCGGACATTAAGGATTGGGAGGGGATAAGGAGAGAGGGAGGGATTGGGCCTCCGGTAACCTTACTCATACGGCGAAACACAACGCTGTGGTTGTTTCACGCTGGTTTTCTGTGAAGGTACGGAATCACTCCAGTCGAGCTGACCCATTAGTGCCGAAGCTTGGCGC